TTTTTTTTTTTTTTTTTTTTTTTTTTTTTTTTTTTTTCCTGATGCTGAGTATTGAACCAGGGCCTCATGAATGCTAAGCAAGCTACATGCTACCTCACCTTTTTGCTTAACCTTATTAATTTTTTATAGTTCTAAAAGCTGGTAAGTGAAAGATCAAGGTGCCTAACATATTTGGTTCTTGATGAAGGCTCCCTCCCTGGCTGGTGGATGCTCACCATTTTACTGTGTGCTCCCAGGGCTGAGAGCCAGAACTGACCCTGAATTTAGGGCTCAACACTGTCTACCAAGAGAGATGTCCCTGACCAGCCCTTATAAAGTTTCTGAGGTGGGCTGGGGATTTAGCTCAGTGGTTCTGATGCCTGCCTCACAAGCCCAAGGGCCCAAGTTCAAGACCTGGTACCAATAAAAAAAAGGAAGTGGCATAAAGTTTCTTGAGGGCTGAGGGAGTAGATCAGCCCTTATGCTTAGCATATTTTATTCAATCCCCAGCACTGCAAAAAAGTTTCTTGGGCACACTCTTAATATAAAACCCTGCATTCTTTTTTTTTTTCATACTACAAATTAGTTTTTCATGTTTAATTATTTTTGGTTCTACTGCACCCCTAACACACACTAGAATGTAAACCTGAAATCAGAAGCCGTGCTTGCACCCATTAATGTAGAATGGGTGGGCGAAGTACCTAGTACATAGAAGAACTTAATAGATACTTTTTGAATGAATGAATGAATATGTGCAAGCACTATACAGACCACTTCTGCATGTATTGTGTTAACTCACAAGATTCAAAGCTTAAGTAGAGGCTTGCCTCTGATCACAGATTATAGGGCACAGAACTAGAATTGAAACCCAAGTTAGTACCTTACTATAAAAGCAGCTGCTGGGAACACATGCATTCTGCTCTTGTGTCTCTTGATCTGGCCCCTCCAAACCTATTCCTACATCCATTTTGTTTCATTTTGTTTTGTTTTTTGAGACAGGGTCTCACCATGTAGTTCAGACTGCCCTGGAACTCACTGTGTAGCACAGGCTGGTCTCCAACTCACAGCGATCCTCCTGCCTCAGCCTCCTGAGTGCTGGGATTACAGCACCCTACATCCATTTTGATCTCCACCAAAACCCTGGTCCCCAGAGCAACCTTACGTGTCAATGATGTATTTGATGTTGTCATGTACAGTGACGTCATCCCGGCCCTTGTAAGGTTGGATGTGGAAGGCCACCTGCCACAAACACAGGAGTTACTGGTCAGATGAGTATCTTTCTAGGAGCCACAACATACATATAAGGCTCATTCCCCAGCTATGGCCTGGAAGAGAGGCTGAGTTTGGAAGGTCTGACAATGGATCCGAAGGCTGTCTCTGCCGTTCTGTGTGTGGGGGGAGAAGTTTGTCCACTTCCCACAACAGGGCACTAGGAGTCCTAGCGGGTTACCACAGGATGCCTATCAGGCTTCAGCTTATGTGCCAGCTCCAAGTGGTTGGCACCAGCTTCCTGAAACATTGGAAAGAAATTTGCTGAAGCTGTGGCCATGGGAAAATGTGCTGTGATCCATTAAAACGTGGCCGCGATGGACTCAGGAGTGGGGAGTCAGGCTTCTCGCTGTCATTTTCTTCCTTTGCCACAGAAGTGGGGATTGACTCATTCGGCACATCTGGGGGCATAACCATATAGTTCTTAAAGGTAAGCCTTCCTACTCAGCACCTGGGTTCTGTTCCACTCCTTGAGTCCTGGCATTGCCTTCTACTTGAGAGCAAAGTCCAGAATTCAGTCTGCAGGTTCATTTGGCTCTTGTCTCCCTTTATCCAAGGTCAGAACCTCCAACCTAATCTATTACTATTTAATAAAAGTGATTTTTTAGTCTCCCATTTCCTATATTTAGTTTTGTCAAGAAAGAGTGATATAGGAACTCTGTATGAGCACCTTCCCTGACTCCACAGTTGTTATGTGTTTGCCATCCCTGGGCTGCACCAAGAACTTCCCTAGAGGCACTATGGGTAGAAGAGACAGGAACTCTTCAGAACGGGAGGGTACACCAGCCCTTCTTGGAGACTCACCTGGATGTTGTGCTGATGGGCGGTGTCTAGAATGGCAGGTACCAGGTCATCTGAGGGTTCCCCGTTGTCATCAGCCATGCCGGGTGGGTACCAGGAGAGGACCAGGACGCCTGAGACACAACACAGAGGCCACTTCAGAGGTACACAGTACCTTTCGACAAAGACTTTCTTCTCACATATTGACCCCAACTGTAAAATGACTCCTGAAAATCCGCCAGATTCATTTCCTGCAGGGCAGACACCTTCACTCGGGAGCTGTCCATGCCTACGGTGCTGAAGCACAGCGGTAGGGCACCAGGCCGCAAGAAGCCCGGCTTTGAACGCCTCAGCAAGTAGCAAAACGAAGAGGGTGGCAATGCCACACCCACCTGGAAGCCACAGTCCTACTCTAAAGAGAAGCACCTCTGGGGAACAATCTCGGTGCTTCTTGTGGGAAACACGTAGCATTCACCTGACTGACTGCCCTCCTCAACCCTAGATCTGAAGAGTGGCCCCATTGGATTTATCTCTGTTCATCACCCCTCTCTCTCATTCCGTATCTCTCCCCTCACTTACAAACCATCTCCAGGTACATTAAAATGTAAAGTCCAGTGGAATCCGAACCAGATGTGCTTCCCCAGCCCAGCCTGCATAGGTAGCTCCCAGGGACCTGTCTTGTAGCTAGGCATTTGATGAATCTCCCACCCAGGGACTATCATGCAACATGGGCAACTTTCCTCTGCAGCCAGCAAAAGCAGGAAGGGCTGCTGCGCTCCACAGCACCTGGTATGAAAGCGGAGCTGTCCCAGACTCCTGAGCGGCCAGGATATCTAAGCCTCACTTTCCTGGAACCTGGACACCCTACAGATTTGAAGTCTCTCCGTCCCTCTCCTTGCTGGCCCTACCTCGAACAGCTCTGGTGCGACCCCTCCGCAGCTCTGCCTGTAGAACAGCCCTAAACCTGTTGGGGGGTCAGAAGAGGCCGTCGGAATCCTAGAAGGAAGAGGTAGTGGAGCGCAGCGGGCCCATGATGAGTAGCAGGAAAGAGCTAAGAAGTCAGGCTGGCATGTGAATGAGACCAAAGGCCCAGTGATGGCGACAGCAGGAGCTGGGGTGTGGGAAGGAGGGCGAGGGTGGGGGACCGGCCTGCCTGGGGTGCAGGGAGCTCACCGATGGCTGCTTCCTTGAGCTGGGTCATGTGTTCCCGCAACACGTCGGGGTCCCGGGAGCTGTAGGGGCCCAGCTGAGGGTAGAAGCTGGAGCCCAAGTCGTCCGGGGGGCTGTGGCGGCCGCGGGGGTAGCTGGCCGAGATCTTGGGGTCCCAGTGTGGCACCATGACGTGGTCCCAGTGGATGTAGTGGCCCTCGCGCCGTGGGCTTCCGTACCACGAGTAGTAGAAGGCGTGCAGGTCGGAGTAGACGCGCAGGCTCTGTCCGGGCGCCGGCTCG